ATCTCTCAGTACATAGCTTACTATCTCAAAATATCCTAGCTTACCCCTTGAAGGAATGTTCTACAGGATCCTGTTGTTGACTCACTAAAACAGGCAGCCGACAGATTGACCCACTCGACAAATTTCCTAAGCTTTTTGGGTCAACATGCACTTATCATGCAGGAAGAGTTACCTTCTCAAGTTGAGGAACCTGCTGATGAGGAGAGATACCATTTCATGTCACTTATTCTCAACCTGGCAAACACTTTCCTTTACATGGTCAATACATACATTATTGTTCCCACTGCTGACGACTACTCGTTAAGCCTAGGGGCACCAGCTACAGTCTGTGGTGTCGTGATTGGGGCAATGGCAGTAGCACAGATATTTTCTTCTGTGTACTTCAGTGCTTGGTCCAACAAGTCGTACTTCAAGCCGTTGGTGTTTAGCAGCATAGCTCTTTTCATTGGAAATGCTATGTATGCCTACGCGTATGATCTTAATTCGATATCAGTACTTCTGATTGGTCGAATATTTTGTGGGTAGGTCTCTCTCTCTCTCTCTCTAAAAATTTCATTTGTTTTCTATGTGAAAATCTAAAAGCACATAGAACATTTTGAACTGATCACAGATAACTTCCAAGTGAAACTGCTAAGGATTATGTGAATGACTAAAATATTGTGTTGTTTGGTTTGCTACTCCCACCTGCGTATTTCCAAATTTGTTATTGATTACATGAAAATGTATAGCCCATAAGAATATATGAGTTTCATAATGGTGGTGCCATAAACTGACTTCATAAGCTTTGCAATAAAAAAATAAGCAATATAACTTTTGATATGTGCATTTGAACACAATGGCTGCTGGATGTTGTACCTGTTCTTCAACTTGAAGCAATTGGTTTGGATAGGATTTGACAATTTGTTGTTCTTCTGTGAGCTTGCAGTTTGGGTTCGGCCAGAGCTGTTAACAGACGTTACATTAGCGACTGTGTGCCACTCAAAATCCGCATGCAAGCGTCAGCAGGTTTTGTTAGTGCCAGTGCATTGGGGATGGCATGTGGTCCTGCACTAGCTGGGTTACTTCAAACTAATTTCAAAATCTTCAACATCACTTTTAACCAAAACACGTTGCCTGGTTGGGTAATGTCTGTGGCTTGGTTGTTCTATTTAGTATGGTTGTGGATTTCGTTCAGAGAACCTTCTCATGATACTGAAGCCAACCAGGCGCCAAAGGAATCTAGTGCCGGTACTTTCTCTCGTACCCGTTTTCTTTATTGTTTTTATTGATGTTTGAACTGTTTCATGTTATACTTACCAAGAGATTACATTTATTTTTTATCATGTATAAATCACTTGGTAACATAGAAAGTCTATATAGTTCTCTTCACATTTATCATTAACATTAGCTTTTTGTGAAGTATAGCTGTAGGTATGTATTAGGAAACTACACAGATGTATGTAGTTCTTGTGCTCTAGAAACTACAATTATGCTTTGAACTTTTGTAAATAACATAATACCGGGATCTTCATTCATAATTTCCTTGTTCTTCACATTCATGAGTTCCATAACACTCAGCGACAGGATCGAAAACGGGAACTTATGTTGTTTTTGCATTTGAGACATAACAGCACAAAATGATAAGCTTGAGAAGGGCCTTGTACAACCGTTACTTAAGTCAGGAGAACATCAAGATGATGATGATGATGACGGGGATCAAGAATATGATATAAGTGAAGAGGCTAAAGAGGAATCTCGTCTGCCAGCCAATTCTTTTGGATCAGCCTATAATTTACTCACACCTTCTGTAAAGGTAATATGCAGTGTAATTACTTTATGTTATGCAAGAATTTTTAATGCTAACTATGATCAATGTATCTGCCTTTTCGAAATACATGTTCTGTCACCAATCACCACTATGTTTCACATCAGAGGAAAATGTTCAAAATTGATTTGAGAGGAATGTGCAGAAATGTCATAAATAACTTTGCCACATAATGTATTTTCGCAGAAATAAATTCATTCCATTATGTATTCTTAAATGGAAAATATCTTCGAAAAGCACTTCCCTGTTCATATCAATTACTATGATCAGGATGAGGTTAAGGGTACACTTAAAGCACCAAACTGTACATTGACAAAATACATTAGTTTTAAAATTTGTTCACCTGGTCTAATGAAGGCAGGCTGTACTTTATTATTTTGCAGGTTCAGTTGTTGATTTACTTCATGCTTAAATATGCAATGGAAATTCTACTTTCAGAATCAAGTGTGATCACAACATACTATTTTGGTTGGACGACTAGCAAAGTGTCGATCTTTCTTGCGTGTCTGGGTCTCACTGTTCTTCCTATAAACATCATTGTTGGAAGTTATATAAGCAATATGTACGAGGACAGGTAATTTTTCGTGAAAACTTGTGACCTCGATAAATTATCTACACGAGCGCATCCGATTAACAATTTTGAATAGCTTTTTAGTTGATCTCCATTGATGTTCTATAGAATTAGTAAGTAACATGTTAATCTCTTCAAAAGCCTAGGCCAGCTCAACCTCTTACTGCACTACAAAGTGTCTTACAATATCACACTCTTGTTCTGCAGCACTTTTTGACTAAATTTTGCGGATCAATCATTTTTTTGCAGGCAAATATTATTGGCATCAGAAATTGTCGTCTTGCTGGGTATAGTTTTCAGCTTCAAGTTTATAATCCCATATTCTGTGCCACAATATGTCTGCTCTGGTCTCGTCATGTTTGTAGCTGCTGAAGTATTGGAAGGTAAGAATTCACTATGCACGACAAACACCAGTAACTAGA